GGAAAACTTTAGGTGCAAGAATTTTTCGATAGCTTTAGCGTGCTTCGACGATATGCATTTAACTTGTTTGTTAGTACGTATATTTATCTTCACAATTTAGTGGTATTTCCAGATAGCTCCATATCATAGCCTATATCATCGTCTGTGATATTATTGATTCGGAATGATAGACGATTATTAAACTCATTTTTACACTTTCAGTATACTGAACACTTGCTGCCACGATAAAACTGATCAGTCATTAACGCCTTAATCAAGTGTTTTTCAACCTATTCAAAAAGTTGCTATGTGATAATATTGATCCGGAATGAACGTTATTTCTCCTTAATTTTTCGTTTTATTCATTGCCAAGAAGATTCAATAAGCTTTTGAAATTTATTTATTAAAAAGTTAATTTATCTTTTCTTACCAGTGCTTTTCCATACTTTTCATTTTTCTGATAACCAAGAAGTTATAAATACCGAAACTTTTGTTTGTTTTATGCAATTATTTTTCTTCAGGTATTTTGCTACTACTGTACTTTCCCCTCTTGTCCACATTTTATGATTAATTGTGCGCCCCAAATACTTCCCATTGTCGTCTATTAATTAATAACGGTTCTTATGCCATATCTTAATTGCCTGAATTTAAAATTATTTGTTTTTTATGATACTGAATTTCAGTTATGGAAAATCCAAATAAAGATTTTTTACAGTTTTAACTTTGTTTTTATTATTTTTCGAGGTGTTTTTGTTTGTATGCCCCCAAACGAATATTTGCCGCGCTGCTTTGCTTCATACCAAAGTGACAAACTGACGACTGTTATAGATAAAAGGAATTCAGCATTTCCTAACAAGTTTGTAAGTTTATAGAACAAAAGAAGATTAAGAGTAATACACAAGAAAAAAAGTGTAATCGAAAAATCAGTTTACTCATGCGTAACTTGTTAGCATGAGCTTCTCTACCACTGTGAAAACCAACTCATTTTATTTTTGCTAACATTAACTTGTCAAACGTCTAGAACTTACGAACATTTTTTCTCGATGACCTGATTGTAGATGCAAGTATTTAATTGAGAATACGAAATTGGAATGAAATCTTTGTTTATATTTCTGCTATAGGAAACATATAATTAAGCATGAAATTATTAGAACAAATTTTTTAAGTACTGCTTTTTGTTTAATGTTTTACTTTTCTGATGGAAACCGGTTTTACACCTATCGGTTAAATGTACTTTATGGATAAAATAATTTGAAGTTTTAACAACTCTTATTTAGAAAAAAATTATTTGAAGGGCTTTTTTCCTAGAAATAACAACATAAAAAGTTTTCTGCACCGTTTGATCCAGCGGATTTATCCTAGCTTTCAGTTTGCAAGAAATGACTGATGCAATATGAATGTTCCTATATTAATTTGAATACATTTTTCTGATTTTCATAACAGAAAGTTCGTTTTCGTATTCGATTACCGTTAACGCTAATTTTCTGGCGTATGATATATACCAACAAATAGCTAATAGGTTAACACTAGCAAGTTAGTTGGGTAGTTGTAATTGCTGTGGAAAATTTAAAGAAAAAGTTATGGTCAGGGGGATAGCAATGTTAAGTAACTAAATTGACTGATTTCGTGCCACACGATACCCAAATCAGACGGAATTTATTCCACTGTTGCTTATAAGTTTCAGTATTCTTTTGTGATGATTTTGAATTGCTCAACAATTCGTGTCATAGCTTTTTGATTATTTGTTAAAATAAATCATAATCCTAGTCATACGCTTACTTTAAGTGACCGCGAAATGATTCGTAAGACTAATTCTTAAAGGAAAAACTGTCAGTCAAATTTAATTGGATTATTGGATGTTGAATTTGGATATTTTTTCTTTTTAGACCGATAATTCCTAATTTAATTTACTGCTGGTAACATTTCATTAAATGATGATCAAAATACTGCAGGGAATTTCATTCTCATTGCATGCCATTTCCGCTTGAAAAATCTTGCGGATATCAAAGGAAACAACTGTGGAATGAAAGGAACTTACTGAAAATAGCGGCCGCTAAAAGTGGCAGCTGCTATTTTCAGTAGTTTCTATACATCTATTTCACTTCGTAAGTATCAATTTTTCCTGGGAAACCTGTTCTTGCATATTATGTTCGTATTTCGTTTAACTTTACTTTCACTATTCCTATTTCCAGAATGTCTCGTTTCACTTTATATGTCCTTAGAATATTTATTATTTATTTTACAAAAACTTACAAAACGCAAATATTCTGGTTTCAATATCACATAACTCAAAAGTCAAGCAGCGCATAAGAAAGCATTGTACATTTATTTCTATTAAAATCTTTCGGAAATGTTTCTAAGAATTTGTTTTCTATCTATTACAAATGAAAGTTTTGCTGCTAGAATACAACGTATTAATTTCAAATTGATGGCGGCGAAAAATTGTTGCATGCATTTTATGGAAAAAGGAGACTAAGCTTTATTTCAAGGACTTACTAGTATGCATAGTCCATATCTTTTTGCACAGTCGGATCTAATAACTGCGTTCAGGAAAGTTATGACTAATTCAGTGCTTTATGGATCCATATATATGTCCTGTGCTCGTAGAAGTTATTAATGCTTTATTAGCTTTATTGAATATTTAATTTCTTGTGATTTTCCAAGCTTGCTTAAGAGCTACTGTAAATTAATCTTAATGTCATATTTTACAGAGAAGAAAAATTGATTCCTTTATTTTTAACTTTTAATTTTCATAAACTTGAAGTTTTTGTTCCTTCTAGTTTTGTTTTTTTTTCTGGCTTCCACAACTTTTGTTTGTTCATTTTAGAACTGATGAAGTTTCTCGATCTTTTTTGCCTTACCAAAAAGTTTAATATGCCAAGGACTTTCCAAGATGTCAATATTTTTCTTTCAATTCGATACTACTGAATTTTGTATTTTTGAAAATTTGTCCCATTTCACTGAAGTTATAGGCTTGTTCACACTTTTGATAGCCATTTTTTGCATGTTTTCATTTTCCTTTTCAAGGAACATTTTGATGAATCCCTGCTATCGATGTTTGTATCAGCATAAAATTTCTACTTGAAAACAGTCATGCAGCACAGTGCACCGAAATAATTGTTGAGCTTGAAATAAATCTAGATAAATAATATATCTGCAGCTTAATTAGCACTCTTATTTTGCAAAAAAAAAGTTTTTAACACTTTAAATGCTCTTCTCTAGCTACTCCAAGCTGATCAGCATCTTTTTTCGTACTGCAAACATTCAGCTAAATCTCCGAGCATTCTTAACACTACATTATATCTCTCATTTTACTGATTGCTTCTTTTATCTTACACGTAGTACTTTTTTTGATCTTTTTTTTTTGACCTTAGTACATTATATTTAATCCTGTAATTTTTATAAAAATGTTCACTCTCATAACTGTCAAAAGTCCGTTCTAAGTTATTTATACTTTCTTGGTACTATTTGCTTTTCATCTTTGGTTTTCATCTTGAAAGAAAGTGGGACGGCTTGCTATCATTATATAAGATATAGAATTATGCGAAATAGGAACCATATCAGGTGTGAAGAAGGCGAGATAATTTGCATATTCTATAATTTGTTTTACGATTTTATGACTGAAAAAAAAAATTTGTATTGAAGAAAGATTTTGAGTCTGCAACTTGGCGCTTTTTAATTTTATATTAGAAGACTCATGATGTGCTCTTTCCATTTATCGCTTCAGTTTTTAGATAATTTGTAATTTCAAACTTAATAGTTTTTAAATTGTCAGTCACTGCTGTTAGTTGATCGATGACAATTCTAGCATTTCATTTCAAGGTCATTTTTGAGCATCATCGAAAATCAAAAACACATAGTAAGTCAAGAGAGCAGTTATATTTTCACAAACCATATAAATAACATAACATCACTTTGTATTCAATTTAAGTGAGGAAGAAAACAAAGAGCAATGGTTTAAGAACAATAAGGATATTATTATTATTACTGTTATTATTATCATTATTATTACTATGATAATAATAATTATTATTCAGTTGTTATTATTATTCTCCAATTATTATTATTATTGATAATTAACAAATTAATATAGCTATGTTGATCTAATTTTTTGTTTCCTAGTAATGCTTGACTGTCGGCCTTGTGAGTTCTGTTGATTTTACTGTCCATCTTTGATTCTCTTGTTTAATCCAATTGAAGTATTTAATACTAAAGCACTGTATCTATTATTTTATTATTATTATTATTTTATCAGAATAATTTTAGGACCTATAAATATATTTAAATATTATACAAAGACATCAATTTCCTTGTATTTAGCAGTGCATCCTGTTTGCTTGTTGTGTTCGTAATATGATACTTTTATAGATTTATTATTTTTTGCTATATACTGCATGGACTGGAAAACTATTGTACCTCATCAGTTTTAAGTCCTTCTTCAAATATTCAAGTTATTTTTGTACGATAATGCACATGTTAATTCAGTGAAATTCATTTCATCAGTAACTACACAGCTTTCTTAATAGAGTTCCCAACATCAGACGTTTTATCAAATCCTAATAACATCTTTTCATAATTACTAATAATTATGACAATGTGTAAATAAGTTAAGTAACTGACATTCCCGAAAAGAAGAACTGGACGTTTCGATCACTGAATGAAAGAACCATACAGCTCATGTCTGAAAGAAACAGCAGAGATAAGCAGCGACGAAAGCATTGAAAATAGGATAGACTAGTGCTGTGTTTGATTTTTAGGAACAATAATATGATATGGTAATTTTGTTTATAATGTGCATTAGTTCTTTTGATTCTATAGTTTCAGCCCGACTGGTACGTGATATGTTTTATTTTGTATTTCATTATTTTATTTTATATTTCGTTTTATGTTTCTATTTTGTATCTCATTTATATTTAATTTTACATTTCGTTTATATAAACTACGGTTTCTTTTAGTTTTTAAATTCGATAATAATTCAGTGGTGAAAATTCTTGCAAATTAAATATATTTCGAAGTGAAAAATGTTACCAGTGTTGTTGATATTCTCAAAAAACGGTTCACGAAGCAATTGGTCGGATATTAACTGTGATGAAGTTGATGAAATTTATAACATCCAGGTAAATTTGTTTTCATTTATTGGATTTTAATCCAAAATTTATTTGCAATGCTTTCAGAATGTTGGAAATTTAGAATCTGAAACAAGAAATGAACAAGGAAGTATTTAGTACCAAAATAAATGAGACATCAATGCGTTGTCCTCCGTTATAACTTTGTGCATCGATGTGTTCAAATTTATAATGTCACTGAAAAAATCAGACAAATATATGTTGAACCGATATTATTTGTTTAAAAATTTCGAATTTTTATAAGCTTAGACTTGAAAATCAGAACATAAATAATTCATAGGGCACATCAATAAAACTAATAGTTTCCGTTTTTTTTTTTGTCCTATTTTTTTTTTTTATAATTCTCAAATTTCCAAAACTATGCAGATTTATAACTTAATAGTTCACATAGCAGATATATTTAAATTTATCTGTTCTGATGAAGTTCGCTTGTTATTCATTCATTTATTCATTCTTGACAAATTGCATACAAATTTTAGAACAATTTTTTATGGCAGCATCGAGGTGGCAGCTATGTTTTACTGTTGTACGGCCTGGTATGCATTTTTGGAACACTAGCCAACTTATTCGTTCTGATTGCATTCTTACGAACTTCACACATACGTAACTTACGCAACTATTTTATTGCAAATTTAGCTATGTCAGATTTTTTATTATGCGTTGTCACCGCACCTGTCACACTTTATCTTACGAGAAATTTGTTTTGGCCATTTGGCAGTTTTGCTTGTCAAACGGTTAGTTTCCTAACAGATTACTGAAAGGTAATGAGAGTGAAACAACTAAACAATATAGTTTGAGAATTGAAATAAGTGGAAAACAAAAAATCGATAAAGTATTTTTGTTTGAGCTTTTGTTCGACACAAAACCCTTTGCCGGTTAAAAAAAGGTGGTTTTTGAGCAATAATAATAGTAGAATTATATCGCATAAACCCCCTGTAAACAGATGTAATGAAGTGTACAATTAGTTTATGTCTAATTAATTTTTCTACTTGCCAAAGAACAATTTCAGCTCACTGCACTCACTTATTTCCATCACTGGAATTTAAATATGCTAAATTAATTCCTTCACTATTTTAGTTAGCTTCGGTGCAAGCTGTAAATATGTTCGTATCGTGCATGACACTTGTGCTAATTGCTATGGATCGGGTCTTATTGACTTTCTGTCCAATTAAATGGCAAGTGTCAACTCTTATTGACATGACACGTATTCATTATTAAGAAATATTTGCTTATACATACAATACAATAACACTTAATTGAAGATAAAGCTGCAAAATCAAGTTGTTGAGACTTTTCAAATTAGCTTACATATTTACAGGAAGCTTGCTGCAGTAGCTCCAGTTATGTGTTACTGTATTGTTTGGCTGGCATCGATTGTGATTGCAGCGCCGTACTTTTTTGCAGTTAATGCTGAAGATGTCATGCTTGAACCGTGGAATCAACCCTACATTGATGTTACGGTATGTTCAAAGGAAAGGAATGAAATATTTGCTTACGGGAGTATCAATAGTAACTGTCTTACGCCCTTTTTAGTAGTTGAGCATAAAATTTAATTAAGTTTATTCAGTAAACTCGAAAATCTTGAATTGATTGCTTTGGTGATTGCTAAAATCTGATCCAGACTACTCAGACTACTGCAAGTCTTTTTTTTTCTTCAATAATCATAATGAGCAAAAATGATGATGTGGGAATGCCAACAGGAAATAAAAAAGTGTTGAAAAAGAGAGAATGGGAAAAATAAATGGAACCCTTTATTTTGATTCCTTCTCCAATAATTAAACTACAACTTCGAAGTTGGTGTTTAAAATTGATTATCTTTAGCTTCATATATGTGGTCGTAGGCGACCGCAAACATGTGTCGAAAAAGCCTGGCATCGTTTGCCTTTTTCAAGACGTACGTACACGCTTTCAGTGCTAGCCATCCAATACTTGCTTCCACTTGCAGCTTTAGCATTCAGTTATTCACAAATTGGTTCTGCAATCTACAAACGTGTCAAAGCGAGCACAACGATAGGTCAGAAGCGTCGACAAGTTATGATGCAAAGAAATAGGTTAGAGTCTTTTCCAGAAAACTGAAGTGTACTTGTTAATTCCGGTTGACTAAATGAATTCTATTTTCATCAAGAAGAGAAAAAAATTTTAATTTATTATGGTGATTTAGTTAAAGGAGTTATAAAAATGTTGAAGTACTTTTTGAAATAGAGATTTTCAGAAAAGCGGTGTTGTTGCTGGCATTATTAGTATTGATTTATGCAACAGCATGGTTTCCAATGAATGCTTACAATGTTCTAAATGTTCTCGAAGTAATCGAATTCTCTCAGTACAGGTTATTTTGTTCGTCAAAAACTATTAAGCTTATGATCCTTCACCTTAGCTTCATTACAACAACCATCGTGTTCCTCACAGCATCTCGATTTTATTTTCAGATATTTGTTTTGTCATTTGGTTGGAATGACATCTGCATGCATAAATCCCATCTTGTATGCACTGATAAATGATAGTTTTCGAACGGCTTTCATTTCTATTCTTCGCCCAGTTATTCGTCCATGTGCAAGATATACTACTGTCTCAACAAATCAGCAAAGCACTTTTGCTTTTTCTTTTAACGAACGTGAGCTAGTCAACCATAACAAAGCACAAATATCAATTTAAATTACCTTCCAAATCGGAATACCGTCATACTTTTCTACCAAAATTCCTTTTTTCTCCAGATCTAAATCGTTTAATAATTTTGAATGAGTAACTTTGTTGCTTGAAGTTTGAATGTTGAAAAATTAAATTTTAGCAGGACATTCTACCACCATTCGCCATGCTGAATGAAACGAGTGAGGAAACGAGTGAAACGAGTTACCGACTGACCACTGACAATGACCGGAATTCCAATGCATAATTTTAACATCACTTATAACACATCATTCTGCTACCAGTAACTTCGGTAATCACATTTCAGGTGTATGTTGGTGAGATGGCCGATCAGTTAGTTGTAGGTATTAGTTTCAGTTTAAGTACCTGATTTCCATGTTCCATAAATTCTTGTATATGACGAACGAAAGAAATTTTTGTAAATAAGTTTTTATCAGTTTGGGATAAACAATCTCAAATAGTAAAATGCATTCATAGGTGAAGGAATGGGATCGGCAGATGCTTGAACAATTTGCTTTCATAAAACTGGATAACTTCAAATAGAGACAGATTATAACAAAGCTTTTTTTTTAATGCTTCCAAATAAATTATTTTGAACAAATGTTTTCTGATACTGGAGACGAGTAGCAATAGTACAACAGCTTCACAGGTGTTGGAAGAAATTTTCAGTATGGAAAAACATGGAAGCTTGAGACACAATGGACAGTGCCCGAGTCAGACATCGCATCCTTGGTTCACAAAAGGAGTGCTCTCCGTTCAAAAACCTCCATGCCTATGTACTAATTCCATATCTTTTTTCATCCTCCGAATTTGGTTTCATCATTTATTTACCATCTTGTCCGTTGTCCTATTCACCGGTTACTTTATGCCAATACTGTCTATTCTAGCAGAAGTTACCTAATAGCCATTGCTTTACAAAGCTTGTCTCACAATTGCTCGAAACCGAGTTCTGGTTCTTCTGTAAATTCATTACTTCATACTGCATAATAAACTGTAAAGTGATTTAAAGATTCAGTTCATTCAAGTGAATTATGCCAGGATCAACAAAATCACAGCACTCATCTCTAATCTCCATTAATTGACAAGCTACCTTTTTTTTAAATGTTCGCTTCAGTCAACTTGTAACTGCGTTTTAAAAACTACTGTGCAATCAGATACGTGTACAAAACCTCAACAATATAAAGGACATCTGATGTTGCTACACTCGAAATAGCACGCAAATTATCTATGCGCTTGCCAATTTTAGGATGTAAATAACTCACGTGACTCAAAATCCTCAAAACTTGTTGAAATGAAAGTGGTCTTTCGACGGGAAAGCTCTGTTCGGAACGTTTTCAACAATGGTCGACGTGGAGGGCCATTGGAAGACGTAGGTTGAACCACTTTAGGTGTCAGTCATCTTCACTTGAAGGATAATGACTGCTTCTATATACGTGATCTATTAAGTCAGAAGATTCATTGCTGTAACAGTGCTGTAGCCAAATGTGCCTTCTGAAAATGGTATATGAAGCGTTTCCCCAGCTTACTTTCCGAATTGTTTTTACATATGATAGCAACTTCGCAAGTATGTTATTACATCGAAATAACAAGAGATAAATTAAGGCATAAATACAAATAAAATATAAAATTGCAGCTAATCACAGAAGTCACTTCTTTTTTATCCCAGTGAAGGTCTTGACTCCTAAAGTGTGCAACCGGAATTCGACACTGTGGTACAATCAAAAATATAAATTACGAAGTACATTTGAAAACATAGAATAAATAATCCTATGCCAATGTAATGAAACCACTGATGATCAGACAACAAAATGAACACTATTCACAGCGGTGAATAGAGGAATGGTCGCCAAAGATATGTATGCAATGATCATTAAATGAACACAACAAGAAAAAATCACAGAATCAATGTGGTAATTTATCAACTGAAATGCAGTATCTCCTTTTAAGCAATACAACAACTTTTATAAAAATTATGTTTTACAATAATCTCGTAATCTTCATTAATGTAATTCACGATTCTTATTTTCATTGTTCATTGCATCTTTTAACTGATTACATAAAAGGAGCACGAGTATAAAGAGAGCATGTTAAAAACAAGATCAATGAGCAGAATTATTCATGGTTTTTCAGTGGCTCTACTGATGACATTTCCTTCACATTCGGCGTATAATCACGTGCCATCAAACACGCAAAGACGGTCATCACCATTCTCGGTTTAATATGAACACGGAACTGCAAGACATAAAATTATTTCGATATACATCAAATTTACTGGTCTTATGATTTATTTTACCTTATAATTTTCTAGTCGCTTATCTAAAATATTTTTACTTGTTGCAGTAAATATAGCCCATCTAGCTTCTTTATTGGCTATAGTTCCACTGTTCCAATTTTTTGTTATATGCTTCAGAAAAATTACGCTTGAAATTACTCTCACATCTGGGATGGAATTATTCGTCGCAATTTGTGAAAAAATAATCCCAAATTTATGGTAGTTATTTTCACTTTCTCTACTATATCCCACACATCTTTTCTTGCATATCGATTCTCTATAGAAAATGTGAGAGAAAAGCTAGGAATTCTTGCATTAACTATTCGGTTCTTGCATTAATACAGCACAAAAAGTTCTTGTTGACATATTGTAAGTGCATTTTTATCTCGTCTGTTATCTTACACCTCTGAAGATGTTGTTAATGTTCTATGTTGGTACAGACCAAGTTTATGTAAAAAGACGATACAGACCACTTTAATGAAATCATTAGCATGAAATTACTGCTAGGCTTTCTTTTAAAAAAATTAAAAAAAAAAACGTAATATTTGTAGTGATAATGTGATATTTTGATTATGAAAGCAAAGTCGTTGGCGTTGGATACGCTTCGTTATGGTAAAATCGCAGTAAGATTATAGAATCTTTATTAATACATTACAAATTTAAGATGAAAAATACTATTATACACAGTAGCAAATAAGAGAAAGTATAATCTCACGTTGTTATAGCTGACTTTTAATCGAAGAAGAGATTAACAGTGAAACCTCTATTTGCCCCAGAAGTTAACAGACCTTCAAGAAGGTGAATATGATCGAGATTTGTCCTTCAAAAGAAAACCCAGATTCTCATTTAGTGTTAGATTTGTATATGTTAAGAGCTGGGAGTGGTTTACAACAGATTTACAATGGATTACCATAGACATTACACTAGATGTTTATTTGCATACTGTATAGGGATTATAATAAAATCAAAGCGGGAGATTAAGATGTGAATTCTTGTTAAATCAAAATAACGAAAGGAAACGCAACACAGCTAAGGAATCTAAAATTCCTTAAATGATTCATAGTAAGTGATTCATAACATTGTTAACAATTATTTACAACTTCAATGATTAAATTTTATATAAATTAATTTTATTATCTTATTTGAAGTTTCGCGATTGAAATTCGCGACAGTACTCACCATAAAAATCTAAATTTCTTTTCGCTAACACTATTTGATCATTTCGATTACAAGGATGTGGTTGTTTAACTCGATATTTTTTCCTGCTTTTGCGTTTTTAATCTCATTTTCATCAGGTTGGTTTTCATTTGATTGAAAAATGGATAGATTTATCAGAAAAATTTGAGCGCCTTCTGAAATTCTTAAAAACTTTGATTTGTAATGGAAACACCCTTAAAAAGGTAGTGGTCGATCCAACGTTTTTATAAAAATTTAGGTTGCGAAATTATCGCGTTTTTATATTCAGCACATCCAACAAGGCGTGTAGGAAGGAATGATTCTAGAAATATCATTCAGTATGAACAAGCAAAGTAAGCATTCTGAAGTTTAGGAAAAAAACATTTTTTTCTGACCTTCTCATACTTAGTATTTTCTTTTTTACTCAAACAAAATAATCTAAACCATGGTCATAAGTTACATTTACATAATAGGGTTGGAATGAATAAATTACCATGAATAATTTATGTGAAAAGTAATTACAAAAACATAATTTCAACTGGAACAAGTCAATATATACATGTTTTGTTGAAACTCAAATCCTTCTTGATGAAACTGAAGTAAATTGAATTAATTGCTCCTTGCTAAATCAAAATTAGTGTTGATATCCAAAAAAATCAGAAGCATGATTAATGGATAAAATATCTAAAACCTTGTGTAGATTAAACGAAGAGTACAAACGAGTATATGAAAATGAAAAGAAGGAAGCAGAAAGTGAGCGCTTCGTTGTCGAAAATTTCATGTTGCAAGAACGAGTATCATTCCTACCCATGACCAGTTCAGCAATGGTATCTATATATAAGCGTACTGAATTCATGGGTTTGTTGATGGGCTTCTACTTATTATCTGATCATATTGAATTGAACTATGTCTAATGCAAATTTTATTTTAAAATTAGTGAATATATGTCATATATAGGTGCTCCAAAAAAATTTGTGGACTAAAGATTAAAAGTAATACGTTGTAGTCTTATCGGCTGGTATTGTGCTGTACTGGGTTGTGATGGTATTCATCGGAACGATATTAATAATGTGCTGCATATGTACAAGGTCCCGAACAAATCGGGATGAAGATGGAGAGCTTCGAAAAAACAGAAGAGAGGATATAGCAGAAGATGCATAGCATTAATCCTGTTATGACTTTCATTTTCTGCGTCTTAGTTTCACCTTACGTTTAACATTTATGGCATGAAATGTTTAGTACGTATATATATGTAGCAGTACTTCATTTCATACTTCTATTCTATGTGAGAATTTATGCAATTAAGTACGCTATTTCTTAGTTTCAGTTTTTAATTGATGACCTTTTAAATGTTACTGACATCTGATTACTTCCAAAACGATTTTCTAATGATTTTTTTTTTTTTGAAACTCAGAGTTTGATTTCATGGTACCTTTAAAAATATTTGTTTCTTCAGTTATGAAATGCTACCGCTTTTGGCACCTGAAATTCTTGCATTACACGTATGATGTTTCAGAAAACTTTATCTCCGGTGCAAACACCTTTTAGTTTCACCACAAAGTATTTATAAAGAATAGTAAAGATGGTATTTGTATTACAATTTGAAAGTAATAAATTTAATATCCACCATGTTCTTTTTCTTGTATATACGTATATCATTGCCGGTTTAAGCAGATCTCATTCTTTTAAAAAAAGTTTTGCACTGGGAATCTTGCTGCTGTGAATGCACAATTCCTGGAATAAGTAACGTATTAAAACATGAAGTAGGTTTTATCACTGGGTCATTCTACATCAAGGAGCAATCAATTTCTGTCGTGACTAGAGCACTTTGATATGCTCAATTCATTTCACAGAGTTGTTGCAAAATTAGCTGAAACAGTTACGTTAAGAACTGCTCTTCAAAATGTTGCCGTTGTCAACAAATATAATGCCATGATATCAAAAACTGTGTATATTTACTCTAATGAAATAGTAAACAGATGTAATTTCTTTTTTCTGAAGCGGTCAACTTTAGATCTAGTCACCAGTTGAGAAATAAAAATCATGGATAACAAGAAATGATATGCTCAATTCATTACACAGAGTTATCAGCAAGTCTCAAAATCATTCAGAAACCTAACCGAATATGAGAAATGAGAAAATCAAATAGATACACTTACTAACAAACACTTCTTTTTGATCCATAGGATAACCTGGAGTAGGTATCACTATTGCCTGTATCTTCCTGAGAAAAAAAAAAAAAAAACTTTTAATGAAATTCTATTCATAACTGCTGATTTTCTAATGTGCCCAGCAATCATTTTGTTTTAGGATCACTGCATAACTTTTAGAAAAGTTGTACGAAGTCGAAAAGTTTAGGTACGTAATTCTGCAGGAATTCATCTGAGTGAATCTCAGATTAAACTAATAATTGATTAAAAACCAATGTACTTGTTCTTTTGCGGATGTAGCTCGCTTCGTTCACTGACCGAAAACATTTTTTCTTCAACGAAAATTTTTTTATCAGACAATGCGTTCTGAGCATAATTCTGATGACTCTGCTTTAGATCCAAATTGCAGCTGTTGGAACCGTATGCAGCAGCGGATATTCCGTTTATCTTTCCTACTGGTTTGACCATACTGTTTTCCTCTCCCATTGGCATTTCGAGCATCTGATAATGAAATCTCTTTGATGCTGGATAGAAGTGTGATGTTTTGAAGTAGAAAACTTTCTTTATTGATTCTGCGAATATTTATTCATTTCTTGGATAACATTATATGTCATTCAAAAAATATTCGTGTTCTTATAGATTTTATAAAAAATTTCTCTGGTTGGAACCGAAATGGCATACTTGAGATTCATAAAACATATCATGGGTGTTTCCGGCTGGTGGATTGGGTAGAAATATGGCACCAAATTTTGGAATTTGATTAATGTTTGGATATTCATGTTTTGAATGTCGTTTCACCCGATGACGCATGTAGTACAAACATATTACGCATATCCCAAGGAGTGCTCCAACTGTGGCCACTGCTAGGACAATTATTGCTGCAAGCATTCTAATAGAAATTCCCAATATCCAAAACAATCAAATTTTTAAAAACATACTTTCCTTAAAAGCTAGCGATAAGCGACATTATTAAACTCAAAACCACTGCAAAATGAAACGGTATGAGAAATTCATAGTAAAACACCAACCAGCAGAAGCCGTTTTGAAATTTGTTAAAAACAACGCATTTTCGCTAAACACATTTTTTAAGTTAATACGGATTTCACCAATAATAAGTCGTTGTTTTAGTTTTTCAGCAACCATTCTTATCGTTGAATTATTGAAAAGTTTGCTGAAATACATATCAAACTTCTTTCTTCATTTCTCGATGATTGTCAAGATTACGCTCTCACCTGTACTCATCAACTTCGCAACTCCTTTTTGTTGTTGGATTTATAGCATACCAGCGCATGTCGACGTGTTTCTGCTTCTTTATATTAGTTCGGCCTTCTATACTTTCCAAGAGAAGTAGTTTACAAGGACCAGTGAATTCTCGCAATATTTTTGCAATCTCCTAAAAGCAGTATCCTTGTCGTTTTTGTTCTATCAAGCATACATTTTGAAGGAATTCAGTTAGTATATTAACAGTACCTAGGAATAAGCCAACAATGAAGCAAAATAACTTACCCTTTTAGCAATTATGAGATGATGTGGTTCGGTATTGAGAACTGATAGAATGAATCGGTTTGAATTACTGATTATATTCACGAATATCTCCGCTTTGGAACACAGCTTCTTTACAGTATAAGAAGAGTCACAAGCGATGACCTCAAAGTATATTCACTACTCTAAATGGTCATTTGGAAAAATTTATCAAAAGGTATTGTCGTTCTTTTTTTTCTTCTAATAACTCGTTATTGTCTATATTTTTTTTTTTATTTGAATTCAAGGCGGATGATTATAAAGCGGAAGCAATCTGGAAACATCAGTAATGCGTGTGGCCTAGGAACTGCTGATAAACATTTAGTCTGGTCGTGGTTCATTTTCTGTTAAGAAAAGACCAGGGCCTTGAAAATGAATTGCATAGTGACTGAAAAACTACAGAATGAAGAGAACTCGAAGTTACTCTGCTATAGTTCGACATTTCAAGAAGATTAGAAAAATGAAAAAGCTCAATAGGTGGGTATTTATTTCTGAATAATCAAAAAAATCATCACTTTAATCTTTTGTCTAGATTGTGATTGAAAGTCGGTTGTAGAATCTACTATAAGTTGAATGAGTAACTGGAAGGAGAGAAAGCACTACTTATTAATATGCATTAAAAAAAATGCTATAATCTCAGACTTTAATATTTACTGAATCGCAGTGAGATATGTCGAAAATTGCAATAGCTCTAACCTGCACTAGTCAACAAAACGGAGTCTGTTCTTTTTTTTTTTTTTTTTTGACAATAAACTCCTAATTATACGTTAGATAATTTGAATAAAAACAACTAACTCGGAAATTAAAATAATTTTTCTGACTATTTTTCATCATTTGTGATGCACTCATTTTTGTCTGGATTTTTCCGCTCAAATCAACCATAAAGTATTTCGAGTCCATTGAAAACGAATCCAACGAATATACAATAACACTGTTGCTTTTTAAACCGACATTCTTAGTCTGAATTAAAAATTTAAGTAAAAATCCACGTACTTTGATAATTAAGTAGCAGTCAGCGTCAGTTTATCATTTATCACTAACAGTTGGAATGCATAACTTAGAAATTTGGTAACTGTCTGAAGGAAAAGATCTGATGCTACCCGTCATACCAGAAAGATTACCTGCACGGTGGTGAGAAATGCAAATGAAGAGGCATCAGTGGACAAAGCTGCAAAATATCCATTGTATTCATCGTTATTATAAATGAATTTCGGACCATTATCGTATGTATCAAGAACAGTTACATGGACAATTGCATGGTCTACTTGCTGTTCTGTTTTTACGCTTACGTTTAATTGATAGAAGCCCACTGTTTCCCGATCCAGTAACGCATGCATTCGAAGGTCGCAGTTACCTTCGGAATTAGTCGAAATGCTAAAGATTCCTAAATTTGCTAACTTTATAATTTAAAACGGGTGAAAATTCCCGTATGACTAGTTTTATTTCCAAAAAAGGCATCTTACCTCCGTAATCACCAGAAATAATTGAACAAGTTGTGAAACGCTCATTTGCTGACTTGTTCAGCACTGGTAAAACAAGTAACAGATGTGGCGAACGAATCGATTCCGATATAGAAGTGCTGAAATAAGTTTCAGAAAACATGAACTTATCTTTAAACTTGGAGGAAGTTAGGATTCTTCCCACATATTGGCAGCTTTCTCACTATTTAATTACACATCAAATTAAACTCACAAGTAATTTCGTTGCGAGAACTGCAATTTATTGTTAGAAAACATTGCATCAGACGTTGATGGCATTCTTGTTAAAATGGTAGTGATAGTTTCTACAGGTTCAACATCAATTGAAACAAGCGTTTCGCTAGACCGTTTCGGCGTACCGTCATCTGCTGCTTCTATATTTAACTGAAATGGTAGGTTCTGAAAATCATATTTATTAACACAGTCATGGGAATAGGTATATATGGTTTACAATTTTGTAAACTATGTATGACAAGTTACCGAAATTTTTTTATTTGCAAGTAGACGAAGGTTTTTCTCGACAGTTAGTAAACCGCTTTTGGGATCTACATTGACGTATGATTCATTAGTGTCCCTTTCTTTGATCCGATAACGAATCTCGTTATTCGGTGCCTAAAACAATGTAATTATATAGGCATGCATTACGTTTCACTTTAAAATTTTCGGTTAACTCTTTTTTTTTAAAGTTTTGGCATACATTATTTTTGCTTAAAATTTAGTTTTTTCAGAATACATAGACGCTCACAACCAGCTACTGAAATTAAGGTAATGATTTGAACAAAAGGCCCACAGATTTTTTTACAAGAAAATTGATACAGAAATAAACCTATAGCAATTTAGCAAATCACGACAGAAATGATTCATCTAAAAAACTTACGGTTCTATCTTGATCGTATGCCACAATCTGGCCAATAGCTGTGCCGAGTTTGGCATCTGCATTCACTTTAAATTGATAGCTATCAAGCTCAAAGTTTGGTATCCAGTCATTGACATCTACAACATTCACATGAAC